TATATATATATATATATATATATATATATATATATATATATATATATATATATATATATATATATATATATATATATATATATATATATATATATATATATATATATATATATATATATATATATATATATATATATATATATATATATATATATATATATATATATATATATATATATATATATATATATATATATATATATATATATATATATATATATATATATATATATATATATATATATATATATATATATATATATATATATATATATATATATATATATATATATATATATATATATATATATATATATATATATATATATATATATATATATATATATATATATATATATATATATATATATATATATATATATATATATATATATATATATATATATATATATATATATATATATATATGTATGTATGTATGTATGTATGTGTGTAAAAATATTAGTACATTATTTATTGTAATAATTAATTAGCCTCATAAGAATAATAATAGTTTGCATAAATATAATTGATTTAATTGAGAAATGTGTAATATTCTGAAAGGTTCCTGCTGAGTGTTGCCTGTGTGTGTTTGTGTGTTTCAGAGGTGGATGTAATCTGTCATATTCAGGCCACGTCTCCATGTCTTCACCCTCATCACATCAATGAAGCGCTGCAGAAAATCACTCATCAGGGCTTCAGCTATGTGCTGTCAGTGGTGCGCAGACATCAGTTCAGATGGGAAGAGCTGCAAGAAAACGGTAAAACAAACACGTGTCAGATTCACTTTCTTACACTGTACAAAATGCAGAGTCACACATAATAAATCTAGAATATATATAAAATAAAAACATAAATATAAATTTTTATTTAATATAAATAATATAACCACATATAGTTTTGGTATATATACTTCATATATTCAAATATAAAATCTGCACATTTGATGAAGTCAGATATACAGTTGAAGTCAGAATTATTAGCCCCCCTTTGATTTTTTTTTGTTTTTTAAATGTTTCCCAAATGATGTTTAACAGATTCAGGAAATTTTCACAGTATGTCTGATAATATTTTTTCTTCTGGAGAAAGTCTTATTTGTTTTATTTCGGCTAGAATAAAAGCAGTTATTAATTTTTTAAAAGCCATTTTAAGGTCAAAATTATTAGCCCCTTTATCCTTTTTCCCCCCGATAGTCTACAGAACAAACCATCGTTACACAATAACTTGCCTAATTACCCTAACCTGCCTAGTTAACCTAATTAACCTAGTTAAGCCTTTAAATGTTAATCATTTAGGGGGGCTAATAATTCTGACTTCAACTGTACATGTATTTTCACATATGTTTAAAGAGTGAAATGTATATGCTGTAATCAAGCAAACGATGCATAAACAAATACCTCTGCAAAAACAGAATATAGGACTTATTTTCAGAAAAAGATGTGTTTTTAATAAAATCTACAGACAGAAATTGATGATGTGTGACAAAAGGAACATTTCAACATGTTTTCTTTCCATTATCCTGCAAAAAAAAACAAAAAAAAAA